ACGGGACTCTGGCAGTGTCCTTTTTGCCAGCAAGACAACTTTCCTGAGCTCAGTGAGGTGGGAATAATTTCTGTTACCTTTCAATGAAATGAGATTTTAGCTTTTGCACATTTTGCCAAATACTCATGACATGATGTTGTTTTTCAGGTGTGGAATCACTTTGACAGCGGCTCCTGTCCTGGTCAAGCCATTGGAGTGAGAACCAGGTTAGATAACGCTGTCATGGGCTTTATCCCAACCAAGTTTCTTAGTGACAAGGTGGTCAAACACCCTGAGGAGAGGGTCAAGGTGAGCTAATCTCATATTTCCTTTGTTTACCTTATCTGTCATTAATTTATACACAATATGCATCAAATATGTCGTCCTACAAAAGTTCTCAGTCTGAATCTCATTTTGACATACTTGCTTATGCCTGGCTCTCCATTTATAGGTTGGCATGACCGTGCACTGCCGCATCATGAAGATTGACATTGAGAAGTTCAATGTAGACCTCACTTGTAGAACATCTGATCTGAGCGACAAGAACAATGAATGGAAGCTCCCCAAAGACACCTACTATGACTTTGATGCTGAGACAGATGATGTCAAGCAGGAAGAAGAGCTTAAGAAGAAACAGCAGAGAACCAGTCAGTATTGACAATCTCTTTTTGAGGGAATTTACCATATTTTCAAGTGATGCAAGTATGACTTTTGTTTTCTTTTCACTAGCTTACATTAAGCGTGTGATCGCTCACCCGTCCTTCCACAACATCAACTTCAAACAAGCGGAGAAGATGATGGAATCCATGGACCAGGGTGACGTAGTTATTCGACCCAGCAGTAAAGGGGAGAACCACCTGACGGTCACGTGGAAGGTGGCTGATGGGATCTATCAGCATGTGGATGTACGTGAGGAGGGCAAAGAGAATGCCTTCAGCCTTGGACATACTCTTTGGATCAACAATGAGGTGAACTGTTGCTACATCTCGCACATGCATCACCATTAAAAAGTTTGGCGTCTAAACTAGATTTTCAGGTACAGAAATAATAATCAAATGTAAAATATCTGTATATATATATATAGATTAACCCTTATTAAAATTATTCTGTCAAGAGCAGTGTTTTTTTTCTCCCCTTTCTGTTGTTTGATTTAAAATATAAAAATAGACAGCGTCAGGAATATTAGGCTGCTGTCACTTTAAGAGTTGGACAAATCCAATCCTCTGTTACACATGCATTTTATTTCTCACATATTTATGTTCACTTAAGACATATCCGACTATGTTTACGATAATACTCGACAAGACTGATTGTAAATAATTTTGTGTGAATATGTCCGTTCAAGCTCAGGAAGCTTTTTGTGGAAACTGATACATTATTTTCAGGATGAGTAGATGCATTGAAAGTTCTAAAGAACAGAAAACATTTTTAATACTATAAACGTCATTATTGCCTCTTTTGATAATTATACTGCATCCTTGTTAAATAGAAGTATAGAAGGTTTTTATTTTATTTTTTAGTCTTAGAGACGCACAATTCGTTCATGCAGTATATCTGAAATCTAATGGTAGTCATGGTTATCTGCAGGAATTTGAGGATCTGGATGAAATAACAGCCAGATATGTCCAGCCCATGGCTGCATTTGCACGAGATCTGCTCGGCCACAAGTACTTCCATGACTGCAATGGAGGTGATAGGAAGGTATGTTATAATTCTGAGGAACTACCTTTTTTCTCTTCATCTTGATTTATACTATTTACATTTATATTTATATTGCATTTATCCTTTCTTGCATTTGTACAGAAAATGGAGGAGCTTCTCATAAGGTCCAAGAAAGAGAAGCCGACATTCATCCCCTACTACGTTTCAGCTTGTAGAGACCTACCGGGCAAATTTCTCCTGGGTTACCAGCCTAGAGGGAAGCCGAGGTAACGCTCACTACCCAACCAGAACAGAGAACTGGACTCGCCAATTTTTTTTAATAGCTCTTTGCTTTTGTTTTGCAGGATAGAATATGTAACCATCACTCCAGATGGCTTTAGGTATCGGTCTCAGGTATTCTCTACGGTCAATGGTCTCTTCCGGTGGTTCAAGGACCACTACCAGGATCCTGTGCCAGGTTAGTATTCTCTAAATCTGAATATCTGAATCTAAACCCCCAAATCTGTATCTAAACTCCTGCTCTGGCCTAGCATCATTATTATTCCTTTTAATGCTGTATTGTTGTCTATATAAAGGTGTCACACCAACCAGCAGCAGAACGCGAACACCAGCATCAGTGAACGCCACACCTGCCAATATTAACATTGCGGGTATGTCAGACATGCTGACTTCTCACCTGAAAACAACAGGGCTTTCTAAAGCTTCTCAAATGATTATTCTCATGAATGTATTTTAAAACGCATACCTGTCCCCTCACTCTCAGACTTAACTCGAGCCGTCAACGCTCTTCCACGAAACATGACATCCCAGATGTTCAACGCCATAGCGGCGGTTACAGGGCAGGGCCAGAATCCCAACACAACGCCGGCCCAGTGGGCCTCCAGTCAGTATGGTTACAGCGGCGGCAGCAGTGCAGGAGGAGGTGGCAGCAGCAGCGCTTATGTACGAGACCTCCACCTATTTGCTGCTACATCCTACTGAGTCAAAACAGAGCATGCTAATGTTTAATATACTTTCCTTGCCTTTCAATATTTTCAAGGTATTTGCAACGCCCCAGCAGCCAATGGCCACACCCTTGATGACGCCCAGCTACTCTTACACCACACCTGGCCAACAGCAGGCCATGACCACGCCCCAGTATCCCAGCAGTACACCACAGTCCTCACACCATCAGCATTCGTCCTCCACGCCATCGTCCTCGTCATCGAGAGTGCGGACGCCACAGCCCAAGTGAGTCCTACTGCTTTCTTCAATACACAGAACCATGTTAGCCACATCACACACGTTTCTCACACAAAGTTTATTTTATGTGGTGTTCCAATCTCTCTTCCATTGCACTTCAAAGAAAATTGGCCAACCAATAAGATTCAGGTTATGTCACATGACAAAACCTGTGCTATGCAGTGTTGCTGCTGCTGTTACTTGCAGTATATGAGTATTTTGCAGTATATATGTATTTGCAGTCTATGAGTATTTTGCAGTCTATGAGTATTTTGCAGTATATGAGTATTTGCAGTCTGAGTATTTTGCAGTATATGAGTATTTTGCAGTATATGAGTATTTGGCAGTCTATGAGTATTTGCAGTCTAGTCTATGAGTCTTGGCAGTCTGAGTCTTGGCAGTCTATGAGTATTTGCAGTCTCAGTATTTACAGTCTATGAGTATTTGCAGTCTAGTCTATGAGTCTTGGCAGTCTGAGTCTTGGCAGTCTATGAGTATTTGCAGTCTGAATATTTACAGTCTATGAGTATTTGCAGTCTTAAGTATTTACAGTCTATGAGTATTTGCAGTATGAGTATTTACATTCTATGAGAATTTGCAGTCTATGTGTATTTGGCAGTCCGAGTATTTACAGTCTATGAGTATTTGCAGTCTGAGTATTTGGCAGTCTATGGGTATTTGGCAGTCTATGAGTATTTGCAGTCTATGAGTATTTGCAGTCTATGAGTATTTGCAGTCTATGAGTATGAGTATTTTAAGGTTTTACAGTATGTATTTGGCTAAGTGATAATGAATGACGGAAAGAATCTGGAACCGGCTCTCTTGTCTCTGTACTCTTGTATTTGGTGTGGTTTGATAAACACCATATTGAATAAAAAAATCCAAATGGCATTTGAAAGGTGAAATATTAATATTTCCATAAGCTGTCAAGAGTATAAATTAGCATCTTCTTTAAGCCTGGGACGGATTTTGCGCATTAGAAATTTCTTTTCAATAGGAATCTGCGTGTTGGTGGTTTTTGCTCAAAAACATTTCCTACACCGATTTTGCTTCTGTTTAAGCCTGATGTCGTATTTGCTATGCTGACCAACAGAAAGCTGTTGGGTTTGAAAGAGATTTCTGTGTAAGCAGTACTTCATACATTGCTACGCAATTGACAATGGGCATTCCACAAGATGTTTTCCACTTCTTTTTTGTGTTTAATTATAGTAATATGGGGTACTATGTACTAAAACTCCATTTGTGTTCCCTGCAGGACAAGTTCCCACACTGCCGTTGATTGGGGTAAGATGGCTGAACAGTGGCTGCAGGAGAAAGAAGCCGAGCGGCGAAAGCAAAAGACGCCCCGCATGACACCCCGACCTTCGCCCAGTCCCATGATCGAAAGCACGCCCATGTCCATCGCCGGAGACGCCACTCCCCTCTTGGACGAGATGGACCGATAGGAGGAGAGAAGGAAGGTGCCCAGACATCTAAATATAAAACCCAATCCATCCACGTCCCATCTCACACCCTACGTCTTGCTCTTTCGCTGCTAGAAGTATTTCTTTGAGTCATTCAGTGCTACTGATACAATGACAAACACTTGAAACATGATGACAAACGGATTTAGGAAATGGACCTACGATATAAGTTTGTCACAAGGGTTTTCTTTTTCTTTTAAGCGTGTGCAGAATGCACCCCTTTTTCATTTTGTTTTTTAACTAAATTTAAAAGGAAAGGCTTAAAACATGATACGCTGCATGGTTGTGCCCATGGGAGTTGGTAATCAATTCATAGTAAGATTAGTTCAGGCCCTCTCAGAGACCGTTTCTTTCTGTATCTGGCTCAAACATCTAAATAAAACCCTGTTTCAGTATGAACCAGAGCGCTGTAATGATTTAACGTTGGTGTTCTGTTGAGCTGTTGCTAAAATGAAGCAAGTGACTTCAAAAGACATCTTGTAAATGCCATGTTTTTGTGGACCATTACAGTGATCAAACATATGCATTTTAAATTCTAAACTTTGAAAAATGATGTTTTTAAGGTTTGCTCAACCATTAATTCTGCTGTTTATTTTTGAAGCCACGGCTAATAATGTGCTTATTCAAGTAAATGGAACTATTGTGCTATAAGGTATTGAGCTTTTTCAGTTTGGATGCTGTTTGTGTGTATGTTAATGCATCTTTTGCTGGCCAGATGTCCTGAAGGTGTTTGCACACATGCTTCGTCCTCTTTCCTTTTATGTAGAATCCTATGTATCATTATAGATGACAAGTGAGACATTTAAGCAAAGAGAACTTTATAAACAGGCTCCTTATACTGTGACTATATTTTCACACACCAAACAGTTATTCATATTATGACTTCCCAAACCCCACAACCCATTTAGTGACTCTTCCAAGCTCTGGGAAGAGTTTCTGACCTGATCATGTGTTCTTTTAGCACTGAGGCTGCATTATGCCTTTAGGTCAGGAATTGTCTCTGTTCAGTGTTTTTCACTGCTGACATCCATTTCATTTCTTTCTTTGATAAAGTTGTCAAAATTAAACTTCTGATTCAAGTGTTTTTATTGAAGTAGTCGGTTTCTTATCCGTCTATATTGATTTCAGTTAGTAAAGAAGAGGTTGGAGTGTTTGTATTCACTCTTCAGACCTTAAATAATTCATTTCAGACAGCTGGGAATTTACGATGATTGCTAAATAGATGGCACTATTCCCGATTCCATGTGACATTTGTTGGAATTTTAATGCCTCTGATGCTTAAGGTACTACCAAAAATTTCTAATTTGTTTCTGACATAATCCATACTTATAATAATATTTTAGCCTTTATTGTCTCTGAATCAAGACTGTATACATGTTTGTCAAGTTGCTCATTTTTGCTTCGCAATTTTTGATACGTCTCCATTTACGTCTAACAATCCTTCCATTTAGCTCACAGTGGGAGTCTTGTGTCCAAGCAGACGGCAGCAGAGCCCGTGGTCATGAGTCTTGGCATATGTATCATATTAACACATGATGCAATGAAAACAAGGCCTGCATTTACAAAAAAACATTCAGAACCACCAGGAGGGCATTTAGTGACCTCTTAAGTACACTGCACTAAACACTGCTGTTTGCCTGAACAAAAATGATTTCCATCAAATTACAGGGATTTGCAGTAATACTGATAGACTTAAATGTCAGTAAATGACACCAAGTATTTATAGATTCTAGATGCGATAAAACTATATGGCACTGTTTGGTGAAAAACACATTTATAGATAAACTAATCCTCATCAATCAATCATGGTTAATTGAGAGTCTATGAAAAACTCACATGTATCCAAATAATCATGTAATATATGATGCAGAAACATCATTTGCATTCATTAATACACCTCTAAATACAGTCTAAACTTTTCTTTCAGATGGATTCTTATTGAGATTTCCCCATTATCTGACTGGCCAAGTCTTCTGATTGTATTATTTTCTTCTTTCACCCAGGGATTTGTGTCAGGGCATTACGAGACATCATCCTGAAGTCTGTATTCAATGGTCACTTCAACTCCCATTTGATCAGATCCATTGAAACATGTTGCATATGTTCAGTCAATGACAGCAGTTTGATTGCCTCTTCTTAAAATTTCCATCACAATTATTAGAAATTTCTGTGGAGTGAACAAAATATTTTCAACTGTAAGACGATATGAAATAAAACGTTTGAAATAAGCCCAAAAGGTGAATGTAAACGTATTAAAGGAACAGGCAACTCAAAAATGTCAACCTCACCATCATGCCTTTCCAAACATGTATGAATTTCTCACTTTTGTGGAAAAATAATAGATCATATTTTGAGGAACACTGGCAAGCAAACAAATTTGATTCCAATTGAATTCCATTATATGGTAAAAAAAAAATATATATAGATAATGGAAGTCAATGGGAACCGAAATTGTTTGGTTACCAACATTATTCAAAATATCATCTCAGAAATATATTTCAGAAAAAAAAATGTTTGAAATGACATGAGGGCCAGGGTGAGTAAATGTTAACAGCATTTTAAGACATTTGTGATACATTACTTGGACTTTATTGAAAAAGAACTTACTGACAATATCACCAACTTGTCTAGAATTGTTCCTCTCCAGCTCAGATAATACAGTCGCCTCAAATGTAAGTGATGCAACCCGGAGGAAGAAGTCTCTCACACTTTCCCCTATGGAGGATGACAGAAGTTATACATCTGATGACATCAAAAGTATGGAGTCATTTGATATCTATCTATCTATCTATCTATCTATCTATCTATCTATCTATCTATCTATCTATCTATCTATCTATCTATCTATCTATCTATCTATCAACTGTTTTCAGCATTGAAATAACACTTTATGTAGATAGATAGTATTGCAACCTCACATATTTCTGGCATCAGCTCAGACATACCAACTAGTTTGATGGCACTAAAACCCCTGCTGTTAAAAGTCTTTAACAATTTACTGACCTGACAGGGCAGAGACGGCCCAGTATTCTGCTCTGATCTCTTCAGAGAGTCTAACAGCCTCTTGCTCCATTTGGGCCAAATGATCTGGGTGCTATGGAGAGAAATGCTCACCTAAACTAGTTATCTCAAGGAAACACTGTTTTGGGATTCATTTCATCCATATGCATCCATATCAATTTTTTCTTTTAAAAATGAATGAGATCATGTGGCCATGGCTTTTTAATATCTTACAGGAGATCATTTGATAACTCACACTAAGATCCTTCTTGGTTCCCACGAGGAAGAGGATAACACTAGAAGGGTCGTTGTCTCTCATGGCATCTTCAAGCCACTCTCTGAATAAACAGAGAAAACAGACATGGTTCATGACTATTCAGACTAGTGTTTCAAACCAAATAAGTGATCACACTGTACCTCGCATTATCCAAAGAGTGATAATTGCTCAGGTCAAACACAACGATGATGGCTGGAAACAAAAGACAAATTGTTTATGCTCAATCCACAGCAAGCGTATGCTTAATATACTCTGTTTTATTACCTTGAGCACCTCTGTAGTATGTGGATGCAATACATCTAAATCTTTCTTGACCTGCTGTGTCCCACCTGCAAAGGGAAAGAGGTCCGTGATCGAAGGATGCAACCATACGAATGATGTTAAACCTATAAAAAAAAACACAAAACTCACAACTGCAAACTGAAGGGCACCCCGAGGACCTCAAATCTCTCCATCTCAAAATCCACTCCAATAGTCGCCTTGTACGTCTTGTCAAATGTGTCTTTGCAGAATCTTCAGGTCAGAAATATTAACAATTACAGTTAATCAACATCATACAGTTAATCATTGGGATTCATTTCATAAAAGTTAAATATATCAGTAAAGGAAGGCACTGTGAGTTCTTACCTAATAGAGAATAGTAAATTACCATTACAGACTCTTACCTATTTATTAAACAGGTCTTCCCAACTCCTACATCACCAACTACAATGACCTTGGCTACATTCAGTCTGAAAATATGGTGAACATTTACAATAAAATGATGTTCATTCATGCTGCACTGCACATTTCACATATACAATCTCAACCAATCTAGAGGGTTTGCGTGTGAAGTTTTGCCTATATTGTGGGGAAAAGGGCCTAATAAATGATAATGGAAAATATCAAAACAACAGGGTTAATGGAAAGAAAGAGAAAAAGAGTTACTTACCCTGATTTCTGTCCTTGACATGCCTCTCTCACAGTAATATTAAAGCCATCTTTGGTGTGCACTGCAGCATCCCTTGTAAAGTACTGAATAAATAAACCAATATAAATTAGTTAGGCTTTAAAAAGTGTAAACAAAACAACAACAAAAAATATCGTTTTACATAATAAATCTGGTCCAGCTGAGTCAGTTTTATAGAATTACACTCAGTGGGTATTCAACACAATAATCCTCTACTTGTTAAGTGTCGTAATTCTGAGAGAGAGAAAATAGCCTACTAAGAAGTATAAAGATGTGAAAGTATGTGCATTGAGACAAAATTTAAAACAAACAAAGTGTTACCAAAGGGAGTTCACAGATGATCCTGTCTCCTTTCACAGGGGGTAGAGAGCTCATCATGTGAGAGCTTTAACAAGACCACACCAATGCAAACACTGAACCATTCTGTCCTGTGACTAGTGGGATAAACAAATATAAAACACAAACATATTAATAAATAAAAATACAATAAAAACTTTACAACTTACCTAAAGGCAGAAGGCTTTTTCACATTCTACAAATAGGCTATTTTAGACTTTTCTAAATTCGCATTAGGCTACTATTTAGTCGACACATTTTTGTTGTTAATGCAACTATTATTTTGTAGGTTATTTTGCCGAAAATGTATGAAATACATAAACAAATAGGCTAGTCGTATTAAAGTTTTACTGCGTGACTGTGCTCAGCTCAACACAAGCAGCGCTCTCGCGGCGCTCGATATTTACAGTGCGCAATTAAACTACAGAACCCATAATGCCTAGCGGTGTTCTCGCGATGATTGTATCTGTTAACGTGAACCCCTGTGATATACTGAAGGAAACCCCTCTCGTTCTTCCTTTCCCAACATGGCCCCGAAGGCGAAGAAGGAAGGTGCGTTCGTTTTATAGGTTTAATGTTATAAAAATGAAGTTTATTCTGATATAGACCTCTACATTTTCGCTTAGATGTAGTTGATATAGTTATGTTTGTGTCTAGTAGTTTAATTGGGAGAAGGGAGTGAAATAACATTGATTTTATTTCAGTAAGTGCCGGTGTGAGACGTCCTTAGTCGGGTTGGCGGTTAGCAGCAAGCTAACATAATTGAGCTTCATGCGCTCTCAGTGCGTCATTCTGTTTAACTGGCTGTCTGTTAAATCTATTTACCAGTTGGCATAAACTGGCTTTTTACCTTCCATTTGAATTGAAAGGAGTAAAACACAAGTATGACACTTCATTAGCTTTTCATCGTTAGCTAGTAAACACACGTGGCTACCCATATCTGTCCATTTGTTATTCATTATCAGTCAGTTTAATGATTTAGAGTCATACACTCAGCCTCGAAAGCGATAATATTGTTAAATATCAGCAATTTTATGTGTGATGCATTTTATAGCTGCTACCTTAATATTCATGTAACGTTACACTGATGTGACTCTGAAAGTCCATTACCTTTATAATAAAAGGTATTGAATTACATTATTCCTGCATCATGTAGACTGCTTTGATAATATTGTATGGTCGTAATTTATAATACTTTCTACAGCTGTCCCGGCCAAGACTGAGGCCAAGTCCAAGGCCCTCAAAGCCAAGAAAGCTGTGCTGAAGGGTGTCCACAGCCAGAGGAAGAAGAAGATCAGGACCACCCCAACCTTCCGCCGGCCCAAGACCCTGCGTCTGAGGAGGCAGCCTAAGTACCCTAGGAAGAGTGCTCCACGCAGAAACAAGTGAGACCCGCATGCTATTTTGTGCTTTCTGACTCCCTTTAGTCCAGAGTGCATTTGTTACTTTGCTGTGATGAAGTATAGTTGACGTACGTCAGATTGTCTTAAAACCATGTTGTTTTAGGATGCAAATGATGGGAATTGCGATCAAAGCATGAAATTATGTGATTACAATATTTAAAACGCTGATGCATCCTCATTTCAACGTTGAAAAAGTTTAAATTAAAGCATAAATACAACGCAGAGCTTGCTTGAGTTTGACATCTCTCTCATTCTGCCAGGCTGGACCATTATGCCATCATCAAGTTCCCCCTGACCACCGAGTCCGCCATGAAGAAGATTGAGGACAACAACACTCTGGTGTTCATTGTTGATGTCAAGGCTAACAAGCATCAGATTAAACACGCCGTCAAGAAACTGTACGACATCGATGTGGCTAAAGTCAACACACTGATCAGGTAGAACTTGCTTTGTTTTTCAAGTCTTTTAAAGCAGTGGTTCTCAACCAGGGGTCCGGGGACCTCCGTGAACTTCCAAGGCAACCTCAAGATGACAAATGCTAGCTTAAGCCTTTTCTGTTAATTGAAACCAGGGGTTAAAATATCAATGCTCCCAATTTCTGGGAATAAAGTTTTAAAAAATGAGAGAGTTTAAATTACAGCAGGAATAATTGAAATAGCCAATATCTGGAAGCCTTTGAATATTGTTGCTAATAGAGGGGCTTTGAGTCAAAAAGTTTGAAAACCACTGTTTTAAATCAATACTTTTCTGGCCAATGAAGTCTGCTAGAATGATAGTCTTTGTGGGAGAAGCCCTGCTGTGCAATGATGTAAAGATAATCATTACTCTGACATTTGATGTTATCAAAGGAACCTCTGATGCACAGGAATAGACTTGTCAGATTTGTGAAGATGTGATGAAATGTTCTAAATGCTTTATCGCTCCCTTCAGGCCTGATGGCGAAAAGAAGGCTTACGTTCGTCTTGCACCAGATTACGATGCTTTGGATGTTGCTAACAAGGTAAATTTGTGAATGTGACGTTCAAACATGTATAAATGGATACATGTTGAGGGAACTGTCAATCTCTGCAAATGATGTAAACTTTGTTTTTGCCTGAATGATTCTGATGCATTCAAAGGAACCACTGATGCTTTGTCATCTTTCTTTTGTGAAATGTTTGTGCTCTGAACTGTGCTGATTGTCATCTTCTTTTCTTACAGATCGGCATCATCTAAAGTGCTCTTGGTCAGATGTACAGAAGAATAAATGTTTGTAAAAACTATTTTTGTTGTGGCTTCATTTTGTTTGCATTTTAGGCTAGTTTAGAATGAAGCTGTGTGGTGCTTTGTTTTATTAATTTTTTTTCTCAAAACATTTACATTTATGTAAGCTAGAGCATCAGCAGGTTAATATTCTGCTATCATAATTTAATCATCATTCAAGATGTATTAAATGTCAGAATTACTGTAATACATAAGAATTGAAGTTTGTGCATCATGACCATGCATTTCTAGATTGAGTTGATTCCATTTTCCTGTTCCATTCATCCTGCCCAGTTAGGTTCAGAATTATCGGTGCGGCCCATTGAGTGCAGGTCATTGTTTGTAGGTCGGTCTTTATGGGATAAATTAAAAATGGCACCGTGACTTACCTTGATGCGAGAGGAAATGGAGGTTACAAAATAGTTTCCAGTTATATCAATGCAACAAGCCTGAAAATGGTTGACTCCTGAATTGGCTTTATGCACAGCTGCACTACTTCCTGAACTTAAGCCAGCTCCTTGTTTTTTAAAAGCCAATTAAAAATGAAATGCAAAACCAAAAGATTTTTGCAAATAGTAATTCACTGTCGCATTCCAAACTCTTTTATTGTTGGAACATTTTTAGCATTTTCTTAAATCTATTCATAACAGCCTGGGAAAGGTTAACTTTCTTAATGTAAAGCATTTTCAACATTTTGTTTTGGCATGTTACGTTCTTGAAAGAAAAAAAAATGAATGTATATCTGTTAGTTAAATTTGACTGAATTAACATTCCTACCACCTTGTGTTCAATACTGGGTGTCATGTTCATTATATTTATTTTCATATAAAAGCAACAGAACTTAAATTACATCCAGTTTATTAACACTGTGCACAAGCGTGAATCCCGCGATGTCAGTCTTTGATCCCACAGGTGTCTGATCCACTGCGAGAAGCGAGATTTGTCCAGCTTGCCTGGGCTTTTTTCACTCCTCTCACTGCAGCCGCCTACTCTCGCATACATTTCAGGCGAGGCTAGCATCTCAAACAAGCCTATTGACTCTTCTTTATGTGTACAGATGTGATGCAAAGACATGCTCGAATCTTCTGTGGAAATCCACCAGTACCACTGGAATTAAAAACATTACAAGCGCACTGCTTTGAATGGAGCTAAGGCAAGCAGATAGTTGAACACTGACTGGTTATGTATTTTCTCAAATATGTATTTTGCATAATTTTAACCCAAAAAAGCTACAGATATGGAAAGCAGCTTTAACCCATTGGCAGAATTTTACTTTCTTGTTTTATGCATACACATACAATTTATAATTTATTTTGCAAGAAAATATCAGAATTGTCTTAATGTCATTTTGTTTCTCAAGTAAATGTTTTTTTTTTTTTTTTTGCAATTTTTGTACTGGGAAAAAAGAAAATCACTTTTTTGCAGTGTAAAACTCATCTTTAACAGAGTCTTAAACAATTGGCTACCATGAACCTTTTTGGGTTTAAAGTAGGTTTTTTTTTTATTGTTCTAAATATAAATGTTTTATTCTAACATGTTTTAAATGTCCCTGATTGGCAACAGATTGTGTCTGGTGAGGTCTGGCTGTTCAGTACAGATATCCTACGGATAAATGTTGAATGCAGCCTCTGGTTTATGGACCGATAGACATCAGCATCTGTAAGTTTAATCCTCAGCAAATTTAGGAACGCTTTTGTGAGGACGCTTCTTGTTGAAGAAGTCTGTTCGGAGGAGGCGGTAGAAATAGATGAGAATCATAATGTTCATGAGCATCATGGTCACCAGGAAGTAGAGAGCATGATCCAACGACGAGTAGTGATGTATGAGGTACCAGGTGAGGTAAAACTGTGCTCCAAGCCGGAAGCTCATGTAGGTCATCACATTCAACAGTTTGTTAACAGTGTAGAGGAAAGAGTTTTGGGCCACCTTAGCCAGTTTGAGCATTAAACGTGTATGCAGGAACACGCTGTTCACCTCCACAAATAAAGCCACCACTGCACCTGCCACATACTGATGTGTGAACACGGCATACAAGAAACACCAGATCACCTACAGGAAAAGATACAAGGGACACCCCAGGTGAATATGGGTAAAAATCAATTACATTAAGAAGAGTGAAAAATCAAAAAATGTGTGGAAATGTTGAAATATGCAATTATCAAATTAAATACAAACTCATTTGAATATATTTCTACAACAGAAATCTGAACATTGGGTATAAAGCCATAAAGTATATACATGAGGGAATGTATTTAATGTAGTATTTTTTGGTATTTAAGTAGAGGGAGTGTATTTTAGGTGTTTTCTTTCTGTAGTCTGAAACAACACGTTGTGGAAAGCCACATAGGCCAAAATGTACAAGTACATGAAAAACAATGTGTTTGCCTGTAGTGTCTGTCCGTCTACTTTGCTGTAGTTAATATATAGCACATGTATGAATTAATTAAGCCAATCTTAGTAATAACTGAGTAACACTTTCCAAGTGTTTTAAACTCTTATTTGTTGCTTATGGTGTCTTTCTGGCAGGGTTCTTTGTCTTTTTTGAACATTGTTTCAACTTGCTAGAATTGTATGGATTTATTTTTTCAGGATGAGGCCTTGCCAAATAAGGAATCAAGTACAAAAAGTAAAAGAAACCCACGCACACATACTGTATACAGTATGTACAAAAGGCCCATTTCCTTGGAGTATACTGGGAATGATGTGTAATCAATCATTGTGTCTGAGCGCACACACACCTTCAGGATTGAGTTTGAGCCCCCTCTAATCTGTGTTCACAATCAATAACTCCATTGCTTTGTTTTGAATCTCAAGTTTTTTTTTTTTTATCTGGATTATTAAGTTGTGACATTATTCAGGTCTAAATAAAATATGTTTTATCACTTTGCCTAGTACTAGTACCTAGTACTGTTCATGGCCTTGTATGATAACTGTGTATTGACTTACCATAAAATGGTGAAGTAAAAACTCCCAAGATGCTTTTGCATACCCACTAAAAATAATGTCAGCAGCGTCCTGAATGAAATACCCTGTTGAAAGAGATCAATGCTGAATTAATTGACAAAACCCTTCAAATATAGAGGGTTGCATTTTACATTTCAACTGAATTTTACTATTTCCAGTCCCTGTGTGTGAATCAGGTTCACTGTTGTGTCCCTCCATCAGTGTCAACGTTTGGCACAGTTTCTATTCACAGATGAATCTCAGATGAAAAAGTAGTTTCAGTCCTTTCAACATTGTTTGTACAACACTTTTCATTATCTTTTAATTAATAAAAGTTTGGGGTCAGTTTGAAATAAATTTTAAAAAGCAATAAGGCCCTTGAAGCCATGATTTACAGTGAATTTAGAACAGGGCATAGATCAGAATGATGGAGTAGTGCCTAAAACCCCCTTAGCTGTTCTAAATTCACTGTAAATCACAGCTTCAAGGGGCCGTATATATATTGAGGTTCAAATTTATTGAGATATTCATAATGGCATAAATGCTACGTGGGATCTCAATATCTCCGCTCAGGAAGGGTCTAGAGTCTCCATTTTTGCACTCAGGTCTAAGTCTCATGGCCCTTTATCAGAATCCAGAGTTTCAAGAAGATTGGAGAAACTTAATTTTTCGCCCGAAAAAAAAAAAAAACAAACGAAAGGGGTACCACTGTCGTTTTTTTTTTTCGGGCCGAATTTTTGAGTTTCAATATCTCAGCTCTGGAAGGGGCTAGAGCCTCCATTTTTGCACTCAGGTCTAAGTCTCATGGCCCTCTATCAGAATCCAGAGTTTTGGGAAGATTGGAGAAACTTAATTTTTCGCCTGAAAAAAAAAACGTAAGGGGTACTACTGTCGTTTTTTTTTTCGGGCCGAATTTTTGAGTTTCGATATCTCAGCTCTGGAAGGGTCTAGAGCCTCCATTTTTGCACTCAGGTCTAAGTCTCATGGCCCTCTATCAGAATCCAGAGTTTTGGGAAGATTGGAGAAACTTAATTTTTCGCCTGAAAAAAAAAACGTAAGGGGTACCACTGTCGGTTTTTTTTCGGGCCGAATTTTTGAGTTTCGATATCTCAGCTCTGGAAGGGGCTAGAGCCTCCATTTTTGCACTCAGGTCTAAGTCTCATGACCCTCTATCAGAATCCAGAGTTTTGGGAAGATTGGAGAAACTTAATTTTTCGCCGGAAAAAAAAAAAAAGTAAGGGGTACCACTGTCGTTTTTTTTTCGGGCCGAATTTTTGAGTTTCGATATCTCAGCTCTGGAAGGGGCTGGAGCCTCCATTTTTGCACTCAGGTCTAAGTCTCATGGCCCTCTATCAGAATCCAGAGTTTTGGGAAGATTGGAGAAACTTAATTTTTCGCCTGAAAAAAAAAAACGTAAGGGGTACCACTGTCGTTTTTTTTTTCGGGCCGAATTTTTGAGTTTCGATATCTCAGCTCTGGAAGGGTCTAGAGCCTCCATTTTTGCACTCAGGTCTAAGTCTCATGGCCCTCTATCAGAATCCAGAGTTTTGGGAAGATTGGAGAAACTTAATTTTTCGCCTGAAAAAAAAAAACGTAAGGGGTACCACTGTCGTTTTTTTTTCGGGCCGAATTTTTGAGTTTCGATATCTCAGCTCTGGAAGGGTCTAGAGCCTCCATTTTTGCACTCAGGTCTAAGTCTCATGGCCCTCTATCAGAATCCAGAGTTTTGGGAAGATTGGAGAAACTAAATTTTTCGCCCGAAAAAAAAAACGTAAGGGGTACCACTGTCGTTTTTTTTTCGGGCCGAATTTTTGAGTTTCGATATCTCAGCTCTGGAAGGGGCTAGAGCCTCCATTTTTGCACTCAGGTCTAAGTCTCATGACCCTCTATCAGAATCCAGAGTTTTGGGAAGATTGGAGAAACTTAATTTTTCGCCGGAAAAAAAAAAACGTAAGGGGTACCACTGTCGTTTTTTTTTCGGGCCGAATTTTTGAGTTTCGATATCTCAGCTCTGGAAGGGGCTAGAGCCTCCATTTTTGCACTCAGGTCTAAGTCTCATGGCCCTCTATCAGAATCCAGAGTTTTGGGAAGATTGGAGAAACTTAATTTTTCGCCCGAAAAAAAAAAACGTAAGGGGTACCACTGTCGTTTTTTTTTTCGGGCCGAATTTTTGAGTTTCGATATCTCAGCTCTGGAAGGGGCTAGAGCCTCCATTTTTGCACTCAGGTCTAAGTCTCATGGCCCTCTATCAGAATCCAGAGTTTTGGGAAGATTGGAGAAACTTAATTTTTCGCCCGAAAAAAAAAACGTAAGGGGTACCACTGTCGTTTTTTTTTCGGGCCGAATTTTTGAGTTTCGATATCTCAGCTCTGGAAGGGGCTAGAGCCTCCATTTTTGCACTCAGGTCTAAGTCTCATGGCCCTCTATCAGAATCCAGAGTTTTGGGAAGATTGGAGAAACTTAATTTTTCGCCCGAAAAAAAAAAACGTAAGGGGTACCACTGTCGTTTTTTTTTCGGGATGAATTTTTGAGTTTCGATATCTCAGCTCTGGAAGGGGCTAGAGCCTCCATTTTTGCACTCAGGTCTAAGTCTCATGGCCCTCTATCAGAATCCAGAGTTTTGGGAAGATTGGAGAAACTTAATTTTTCGCCCAAAAAAAAAAACGTAAGGGGTACCACTGTCGTTTTTTTTTCGGGCCGAATTTTTGAGTTTCGATATCTCAGCTCTGGAAGGGGCTAGAGCCTCCATTTTTGCACTCAGGTCTAAGTCTCATGGCCCTCTATCAGAATCCAGAGTTTTGGGAAGATTGGAGAAACTTAATTTTTCGCCCGAAAAAAAAAAAACGTAAGGGGTACCACTGTCTTTTTTTTTTCGGGCCGAATTTTTGAGTTTCGATATCTCAGCTCTGGAAGGGGCTAGAGCCTCCATTTTTGCACTCAGGTCTAAGTCTCATGGCCCTCTATCAGAATCCAGAGTTTTGGGAAGATTGGAGAAACTTAATTTTTCGCCCAAAAAAAAAAACGTAAGGGGTACCACTGTCGTTTTTTTTTCGGGCCGAATTTTTGAGTTTCGATATCTCAGCTCTGGAAGGGGCTAGAGCCTCCATTTTTGCACTCAGGTCTAAGTCTCATGGCCCTCTATCAGAATCCAGAGTTTTGGGAAGATTGGAGAAACTTAATTTTTCGCCCGAAAAAAAAAAAAACGTAAGGGGTACCACTGTCGTTTTTTTTTTCGGGCAGAATTTTTGAGTTTCGATATCTCAGCTCTGGAAGGGGCTAGAGCAGGGGTCCCCAACTAAATTGGCAAGAGGTCCACTAACCCAATGAGCCCAGAAAACGAGGGTCCGGACATGCAAAAACACCTGGCAAAATAAGTTCTTTCATTTTATTAAATTGTAACCATGTCAACAAATTGACAAAATCTTTAC